TTATTGAAACTGTACTTTTATGCTCAGTTCTTTTCAACAGTTGGCAAAGTTCAGCATCTCCACCAGACATTTTCCCTTCTCCCAAACAGCTTACCATTTTTAATACTGGAACTTATTAATTTCTGAAATAATGTTCATTGCCATCAACATCTCAGTTTTTATCAGAACCCTGAATTTGTGCTACAACTTGATCTTCTACAAGTTCTTTTCCTTGAGTCAAGTATTTGTCGGGCTACCCAGTCTCTCGGCACAAAAATGAAGTCCAAGGATCACCTGTGACAAAAAGAATGACTCCATTAGTCTGAATTCACAACAGGAGTTTTATTTATTAGATAAAACAATCTTTACTATAGCATTTAACATTGTAATTTTAAAATTAAAAAACAAAACATCATCAAGAACAATACTTTTCTGAAAAGTATCTGATGATATCTCCAATCTGACTATCAAAAGATAGCTCCAATTTACATTTTAGAAAGTGTACTAAGAGAAGAACACTCTTCAACTGGATTCTTACACTGCTCAAACTGAAACCCAGGACCTGTTTGAAAAGCCTCCAAAATGAAATTCTTTTTTGATAGATTCCCATCCTCAATCCTGCAATGGTTAATGGTTGTTTTATTTAGCAAAGACTGGATTAAAAAAAAAAAAAAAAAAAAGTAGCTGTGTTCCTTAGTTCTTTCAAAAGTAACTTCACTGATCTTGGAGATTACTCTTGAGTTTATTATTCTTGTTTGCACTCACAGAGTGTCTAGAACTCTTGGACTTAAAAGAGGTGAGGCAGATTGAGCATACAAACATTGGGAGTTTTTCCTTTTTCACTGCCATCTCATTCAGAAAAGTAGTTACCACACATACATAGGTTTAAGCATGTGTGCAGTCCTAGTGAAATTAACTGCATCTTGCTACTCTAGGGCCCTGAGGCCTCAGCAATATCAAACATCCTCTCTGCTTTCCTTACTATTAACAAAACGAAGAGTTTTAGCAAAAAAACATTTGGGCCAAAGACATAGAAAAAGTATAGAACCCCAAATACACCTAGCACAGAACATAGGTGAGAAGGGTGAATGCAGCTTTCTGCCCTGATGTGGTAGGTGGCAGTTACCAGCCTGGCACCAGTCCCTGTATTATCCCAAGCCCTGTCAGATGTCAGCAGACAGAACAGGCACAGAAGAGCAAGGGTGCAACTGCTGGGACTCTTCTTGCCTGCTGGAGGCTCCCTTCCCACACAGGCCTCTGTTGGAGGGGTAGTCAGGGAACCTCTGGACCTCAGCACATAAAGCGCCCAGGAAAAAGCAACCCATCAGGCCAAGAGAACAGTTTCAAAAGGAAGAGAAAGAAGAGTAAGAGGTGTGATAGCACTCAAGAAAGCTTTCTTCACTGACCTTAAGAATGGTCCAGTTCTGCAATTATTACCCAAATCCACCATCACAAAAATGACAGGTGGATTCTAACTGACATTTTAATGTCACAACTCATAAACTAATCTCCATAGTCAAAGACAGAACTGCTCCCTCACCTTGTTCTTGATGCATTGTTTTTCTTGGGGTGGTAACAAAAAAGGCATAAGGATACCAGTAATCACTAAGTTTGTGTGTAGTATCACATAAATCACTTTAAATGATCTCTTCGGTTTTCTGAGGTGCTCTATTTAAATGCTGATATTTTCAGGTAAAAACTACACTTATGGCTGAAAGTACCAGTAGTTCTTTAATCCACCTTCCCTAACGATAGTTACTGCATCATTTCAGGGTGGAACTGTTGAATGACCTTATTTCTGATGTATGAATATTAATAATGGAAAACGAGACACCTTAGGATGATTTACACAAAACTTTTATAAAGTGAGCTATTCTCATTCTTTTTAAAAATTAATTATTAAAGAAATCAGTTTAAAGTTCATGCTGTATGAATCTGCTGTCAAGATATAGTCATTAAAATCCTTATGCCTTGAATGTTTCCCTTGAACTTTGTGTCAAAGTTAAAAGATCACAGACATCATAAACCAAATTCAGTCTTCGTGTAGGTCAGCATGAAATTGCAGCTGTTCCCATCAGGACTGAATTGGTGTCAGGCACTCTTAGATTACAAAGCCATCATAAAAGAAAAAACAGACCAGAACTATGAAACTTATTACAAGTCAAGTACATTAAATAAAAGAGGATCCTACCAGTTGCATCATCAGCTTCTGTGTCTAGAAGAGCATCTACTGAAGCCATGCTTGTGCCTATGAAGGAGTCTGTAGTATCAGACACTCCTCGCTTGCTGAGACAAACTTCGAGTTACTGACTTCTCTGCTTTGATCAGTGTCTTTTACTAACCTTCTGACTGTAAGGAAGGTTACATCACTTGTTGAGGAGGTTTTTCTAGGCCTTCCTACTATTCCCCAATGCACTTTTAAAATCATAAGTCCACAGGTTCAATTTGCAGTTATCTTCCAAAAAATATTTATACAATAGAGAGTAGGATAGGGATGCAAGATGTTTTCCCCCACCAAATCCACCTTTTTGGTAAAGTGTTAAAATACTCCTTATTTCTGTTAGTCCTCTCTTGCAAAGAGGGAAGAAAATCTTCAGTGAGATACATTTTCTTCAGGAGGTATCTTCTGTTCCTCCCTGACCTTTTTCCGGTGGAATTTTCATCCTGTGTCCTTTTTCCTCAATAAATATGCCAGCAAGACTTATAAGCTGTTGCAAAACCAGAATTTCCTTTCTTATTACATCTCTCCAGAAAGTCCTAACTGTCTTTGACATTACCAAGTTACAAGTTAGTTGTATGTATAAATCAGATTATTTTCAATATAATCCCTTCCTGAATAATCTGAATTAGTGTAAACAAGATTTCAGAGACTTTAGTCTTCATACTTACAAATATTAGGCCAGAGTTTTCTAAATACTTATGTCCTGTCTTAAGTTTACTTGCCTGAGTAACCCTTTCTTAACTGAAGGCCAGCTTTAATAGTGGTGCTCACATAAGTAAAGTTATATCCAGGCATAGGACTTTGCAGGATTAATCAAAAACACTTAGCACACCTTCTTGAATCTTATCAATTATGTTATTTCCAAAGTTTCTATTTATCCATGTACTAAAACCCCCATATTTTAAAGAACAAAAAACACAAAAAACTTAACATTTAAAGCTTGCTATTTTGTTGCTAAAAAAAAAAAACTATGAACTATTTACCATCTAGTACTAAATATCTACTTGTTTTTATTAATCCTTAATTAAAGAGGGTAAATCATTATCTAGTTCACGTTCCAGTCTCAAATAATTTATGTTCAGAAGAATGCTCTATTCCCCTGGCTGTAGGAGATTACTGTTGCCAGTTTGCTGCAGTTCTTAACAGCCACTATGACAGAAAAGGCAAGAACAAGAAATGTAGTAAGAGTGAGCAAGTGAGCACGTGTTGAGTTTCAAGAGGGATTACATGAGATGTACAGCAAAAAGTATGCACACACATAGAGCCCAACGATTCAGTTGTTTCCAAAAAACAGGTACCACGTTTATTTCAGACTTACTACCAGACATGTTTGTTTGCAAACTCCCCACAGAAGTGCTGAATAGATAGTAAATAGATTTACTAATTAAGGAGGAGAAGAATATCACTCTTTCCCCTGGTGTAGCCCCAGCAATATGCCTGTCTCAACCCTCTCTTCCCTCCATCTGAAAATATCCCAGAGAACAAGAGTAGTCAAGTGCCGACTTGGACTTCCGGAGTTTGAGTCTCCTCTCAATTACACACTATTGCAGTGTGTAACCCTGCCAGTTCCAATGAATGAGATTTTTGTCAATGAAAGCAGGAAGCAAATATAGCTTTTAGAATTTACAACCACTGTGGCAACCACAGGGAGAAAAAAAATAAAATTTGTTACTCTTCATTTTGATCTTCTGTGTGGCATTCCACTGTGGCAAATAAAACTGAAATGTACAATACATTTGAATTACCTGAATTAACCTTAGAAAGTTAAGCATGCCATTGTTTGCCAGTTTTCCAATACTAGCTATCTTTCTTAGGCTAGCTTACAGCAAAGCCTGGGCTCAAGTTCCACCTCAGATGAATTTTAAACCACTAGGTAATGAACTTAGTGGAGTAATAATGAAGACCCTGAGAGCTGAGTTGTGAAAAAAAAGAAAAGCAGCTTCCCAGTTGTCATGGAGTGAAATTCTGCTTTCATTAACAGTGCGGCTCTCTTCGCATGCTCCTGTATTTTTTTCAATGAAAGATGCACAGGATTTAGAGTGCACAGATTTGGTACACGTGCGCAGCAGCTGGTCTGACATGATAAAGCAGAATGAATCTGAAGAAGTTCCTGCCTGTCTGACCAATAATCCATGAACTAAGAGGGATTTACTCAATAGGCCAGCACAGATTCTATCCTGTCAAAATTAGAGTTTTACTTTTTTAAAAAACGTGCCTAAAGCTGTTTTCCATTAGATATTCCCCATTCCCCCAAAACCTAGACAGTAAGTAGGAAGTGAACAAAGCAGGGTGAGGGAATTGTCTGAATCCTGCAATGTTTATAATTATGTATTTACTTGATTTGAAGCTCCAACCATACCATTTGTTACTGGAGACATTTCTGTAACTCAAAGAAAATCAATCAGAAGAATAGCATCCAGCATGCACAGACACACACTGTATGCCACGGCAGCATCCCCGGTATCGTGTCTACATTTCATTCTCAAGTACGGCTTACTTGCCATTCTCTTTTGCTAGGTGGGAACTGCCGAGAGCTAAAAATAGCACCACGACTCGGTGGCGGGAGCTAAAAATACCCTTTCCCGCTCGATTACCGACTCGGCAAGGAAGACGAAGCCCTTGGCATCTGTCACAGCCTATAACCGCTGGCTGAGGATCCGAGCAGAGCCCAGCCCCGGAGTTGCGCGCCCAGGGAAAGTTTTAGGGGCAGACGAAGCGGCCACAGCTCCGCGACCCGGGGCCCCGAATTCCCCCACGCCAGCCCGGGCGGCGTCTCCCGGGCCTCCCCGCTGCCCCTTACCCGCGTTTCGCAGCTTCTTGTTGCGGTAGACGGAAAGAACGACCAGGAGATTGCCCAGTAGGTCCACCACGATGGTGAAGATGAGGACGGCGGCCAAAGTGGAGGTCACCCAGGGCTGGCGGCGCGGGGCACCCTCGGCCGGCGGGTCCCGCGGGAGGACGGAGCTGTTCAGCTCGCTCCCGTTCAGTCTCATCCTGCCGCCGCCCCCCAGGGCAGAGCCGAGCACGGGTGGAGCTGAGCCGCTCGCTGGCGCTGCTTCCCGGCAGGGCAGGGCAGGGCAGGGCAGGGCAGGTCGGGGCGGGGGGTCTGGCCGCAGCCGCCCTCCGCCGCGAGGCTGCCCGCCTAAGGCGGAGCGGGGCTGGCGGGAGCGCCTCCCATGGCCACCGCCGCCGCCGCGGCCGCTGTAGCCGGGAAGTTTCCCCAAAGTGTGCATGTGCCGCGGCGGGACACTTTTATAGGCTCCGCCGGCCGCCGCCCCGCCCCGCCCGCCGCCACCGCTGCCGCCAGGTGACACCGACCGCCCCCGCGCCCGCACGTGCGCCGCCGCCGGCTCGCGCCGCGCCGCGCGGCCCCGCAGCGCCCCCGCGCGGCCCCGCCCCGCCAGCGCCGCGCGCCGCTCCCCATTCATGCTCCCGGCAGCTCCATTCAGCGCGCGCCGCTCCATTCAGGCGCGAGAGGGACCGGCGGGGGATGCTGTCTGCGGTTGGGTGCCTTGCAGCGCCTGGCGCTATTTTTAGCTCCCCTGGTTAACGCCGGCTCTTAATTAGGCGCTCGCCGGACTCCCTTCCCCTCCTCCCCCTCCTTCGCTTAACATCGCACCCGCACGGTAACGTGAGCGCGGCGAGAAACCTCCCATCGGGGAGCGTGTCGGGGCTGCTATAAAAAGCTCCTCGCGAAGCCGAGCTGGCTGAGCGGGGGGGACGGGGCGGGGGGGCGTCTGAGGACCCGCGTCCCAGGAGCACCACGTGCTGTTACAGCAAGGGGGGCGGCGGGGGATACACACCGCCCCCGCACCCCCTCCTTCATCCCCTGCAGCCCTTCCTCCCCCGTCCCTTCGGCAGCGGGGACGAGCTGCACCGGAAAGAGAGCGAGAAAGGTAGCGGGGATGCCCTTTGCCACCCCTACGAGCCCGGTGAGGTCTGGCTCCGCTGTTCCCCAAAAGCAGCGCGGAGGGAACAGGGAATCATTGCCCAGCCGTGAGGAGGACCCAGTGAATGGGGTATCCCTTCATCCCCTCGTGCGGTGGGCGCTCCGGTAAAAAGAATAATAATAATAATAATTAAAAAAATAAAATTGGCATTTGCTTCTGGCTGAATCTTCTCGCTTACGTGGTTTCGAACTGTTGAAAATCTCTGAGCAAACTGGGCGTGGGAATTACTCTCCCATTCAGGATAATGGGCTACGAGTACGAATGGCAGTGCTCGCTGTCCTCCGCGGAGTGCAGGGTTGGGAGCGGTGCTGGCGGTCAGGGGCGACCCCGCACACCGCCATCCCGGCCGGAGCCCTTATGGGGGAGCTGCGACTGGGAGTACCCAGAACCGCGGAGGGAAAGAAGGGAGTCCGCGGTCCGCGGCGAGAAAGGGGGGAGAGCGCAGCGGGAAATGGGGGAGTCCGCGGTGGGAGCGCTGAGCTTCTCCTGGGCAGCGCAGCCTTCACGGGGCGCTGCGCAGGCAGCGTCCCTGCGGGATCTGCGCGGGGCGGGAGGGGACCCTGCGACCGCAGCTTGCGCTCAGCTGCCCAGCGGTCACGGTGCTGTATCCAGCGGCAGTCCGAGGTCAGGGATAACCAAAGTGTGACCAACAGTTACGTAAGGGAAGCAAGTGTGGCGAGCAGCCGGCCCGCAGCCGCGGAGAGGCGCGGAAAAGGCAGGGAGGCAGCAGCGGCAGCAGCAGCAGCAGCGGCAGCAGCAGCAGCAGCGGCGCCCCCGCCCCGGCAGGCGCCGCAGTCCCGACCCACACGGCTGGGCTGTGCTGCGAAGGCGGTGAGTGCCAGGGAAATCCCGAGCTTCCTATTCATCCAGGGTTTTCTTTCACCACCGCGGGCGGCGGAGTACGGAGACAGCGGCTCAGCCTCCCGCTGGTGAACGAGACCGTTTTTGTTCCGTGGAGGAGCGCTGATTATTTGATCACTTACTGACTTATTAAGTGCTCAATATTGCGGCAGTGTTTTTTCCCCCCGCCCTGATAAACAGCGGATCCGGGGAGATGTGTCAGTACTGCAGAGCGTTCCTTCCAACTGCTTCCCGAGGAAAGCAAAGCCCGTCACTGGAGATGGAGAGCAGCAGCCCGAGTACAGGGGAGGTTGCAGGAGGAACCCCCACAGCGTGGTGCCGCAGCTCCCAGGCAGAGGGTGGTTGAGCACACCCTGACATTCACATCCACCTGCCACCCCCCCACACCCCTCTTGCAGGTCAGCACATGTATCCGTGTGGGTGCATAACAAGTAAGTTATCAAGCTGTGGGAGAAGATTAAAAATACGAAGAGCCAATATCAGGGGGCCATCAGATCAAGGGCAGGCACACGTGAAGACAGGCAGAACTGCCTGGTCCTCAGTAAACCTCAGCAGGCGTTTTGTTGGACAGGGAGGGCTGACTGCCCAGAGAGAACTGCGAAGTTTCACAAGGTCAGGTATTTTTAACCAGAATTTGGAGCGATGATGAGGATCACCCCAGGATTTTACTTCAAAAAAGGGATTCTGGTCCATGCAGGGACTGCTGTCATTTGTCTCATTCCTGAGATGTTCAGTGACATGTTTGCAACTTAGGCCCACAGGGGACTGGAGACATCACTCTGTCTATCTCATTTTAGTCTTGTGACAAGAGTGTACCCTGGACCAAAGGTTAGTTGTGCTGGTGAGAGCAGTGCTTGGGGAAGGGAATGCTTCCTGAAAAGGGAACTGTAGAGGTCCTATCAGAAAACCTTATGAGAGCTAAGGGTGACCCAAACATCATCAAGGACCATTATACATTGAGAAGTCTTGTGGTATTGCTCCATGTGCTGACTTTGCTTCCTGGAGAGTGGGAGATGAGCATCAGGATGTGGGTCAGGCTCCAGCAAGAAGCACCTTCCCATTCCCCACCAGGGAATGGGACAACCTTCTCTTTCCTCCCTCTCACCTTGACAGAGACACCTCATGCTAGAAAATGCTGACCTTTAAGGTTTTACTATTGTTTACTCACATTTTGGAGAGTTAGAGACTTTTAGATGCCACTCAAAACAAGCTGTGAAAACTGCAGAGGAGTAGATCTAAAAACATCAGGCTATTTCACACCAATCAACATTTAGAGCCAGTCAGACAGTCTTAGAGGCAGTTTGGTACTGTCTGTTACATCCTCTGGGTCTGGTCTCTCTGCCCTCACATTTTCTACACTTTTTCTACATATGCTTTTTTAAAGTACAACTAAGAGAAATTACATTATGAAAGCAGTGTAAGATAAAATCAAGGCATAAAAACAAACAAATTATTAGGGCCAGTCACCCCATATTATAATAATTTAAATCAGGATTGACTTCACTGTAATCAGAAAAGTTGGCAGAGATCTTATTACATGAAGACACACAGAACTTGTCTGAACTGTCATAGAAGAGGCCTGACAAAACTGCTGCCCGTTTTGTCTCCAACCAACTTTCCTGAATTGGTTTTGGTCCTGTCTCCTGTTACTGCATCCTGGGCTCTCTGAAGGAGTGCTGAGCCTGAGTCTTCTTTTTGTCCTGTCTAGGGCTGTCAGTTGAGCCTGCTGTCAGCATCTGTCTCTGCCTGCTGCTTTTAGGTCCTGTGAGACTGTGCTCTGGTTGGTGTGGACAATGCCTGGGCTAAGATTTTCCTTGGCTCTTGGTTTACTTTTCCCGTGGAGAAGCTCTTACCCATCAAGGGATATTAGATGAGCACCGTCTGTCTGGAAAGATAGGTGAAAATGTAGAAAGCATGAGAAGAAATTATCAATTCAGTTGGTTCTCTGAGTAAGAGAATGGCAGGTGGGACTGAGACAGTCAGTAACAGGAGCAAGTACTGAGAGCATGCTGGTATTGATGTCTGGCAGAGAATGGAGTGGAAGGGTAAAAGACATAACACTTAGCTCCATCTGGAGAAGTTTTTACCATGGTACTGTGTGGTTTTCGTTCATCAGACAGAATAGCTGTAGAGGCTGATGACAGATAGCACATCTTGGAGGGAGTTGACTTGGATACAAAAATGGGAGTACTGGAACAAGGAAGTAGGTAAGCTGTGGTGCCTGTGGCAGTGAAGAAGGAGCTTTTGATATCCTTTATGCTCTGGTGCCTTTCTCTCCTTCAGAGAAGGCCAGGAACTGCATGAAATACATAAATGCAGACTTTATTCTGCTCAATCACAATAGGTATTTCTGTAGTGACAATTTGAAAGTATTCTAAGAGTTGAGGTGGAAAGGGATGAGGTAAATGAAGTGGCAGTGTGTTTCTCTGGCAAGCAGTAGTGTGGAGAGTAGAAGCAGCTTCTCATTTGAATGCTCAGCATTAAATTATTGTGGGTGCATATTCTGTCTGATATTATTCTTCATTATTTTGAGTTCTTCATTATTTAAGAGTTCTCCTGTTATGTTGAAGAGCAGCTACTATGCTGATGGTTCTTGGGCACTCTAGGAAAGATAGGAAACTTATAGGTCCTCTTCACTTCAGTGCTCTGAGACATCTCCACCATTACATCTGCCAGCGTCTTGGGCTGCTTTCTCAGCACACTGACAAAGTCATTTGGCTTTCCCCACCAACTTACCTTGACAGCTGATGTTTAGTACACAACTCTTGCTGATACACCAATGAGGAAATTCCACTTCCTCAACAGTGAAACTGGTGTCACAGCAGGTTTGTTTTAGTTCATCCCATGGTAGAAGTTATCTACTCTTCATGACATCAGACCATTGACTGTGATGCTGCATTACATATGAACTTGGCTGTTGTTTCTTCTGCCTTTTAGAGGAGTGATTCTGAGTGTTGAAATTTCATCATGTTTTATTTTGTGATGTGCAGATTTCTTTCCCTGCTGCATCTGTGTGACAAGTCTTTTATTTCAGTGTTTTTTTCTCACTCTACAGTCTGTGGCATCTCCTATCTATGTGTTGTAAGTTGTACTGTAACTGTAAATTGCATCCTCTCAATGAGTATCAGTTTTGGGCAGATAATGTAAGGGAATTGATGGGCAGTGTGCCAGCTCTTTAGTTT